AAAAGGAGTCTAACGGTAATTCGTTAGAAGGCAGGGACGCTGACCAGGCGGATCGCGCCTGGCCAGGAGAAGTAGTTGACATGAGCACTAGGGATATGGTTAGACTCAGAAACAGATAAACTATAGAATCAGACTCTAAGACAGAAAGTTAAAACCACTCAATCCTCAGCCAAGAACACCCCAGCAGGTTGAGCACGGGCAAGCTCAGTCGACGGGACTGCTCACGACGGGACTGCCACGATTCTTCTTCCACGCGTCTTCTTCTCTGTTTACTAAGCCACAGCAGCCATTCGCTTCTTCGCTCTCCTCTTCTACCACAAACACAGCGGGGCAATATTATTGAGAATTAACAGAATGATACCGATCGAAAGAATAGGAGCCCAGAATGTTAATGGAAGTAATTGTAATTTAAGTGTGAAAAAACTACCGTGGATGAACGATAACTTGACACCAACAGAAACCAAAGCTGCGAGCTACAAATGGCGGTGGTGCAAGTAAAAGCTAGAAAAAAGTTGCGGCTTTTGTAAACGGCTTACGTAATGGCTGCAGTTACATCTGCAATGTATTAATGTAAAGAAAAAATATATCTGCGTCAAGTGAACAAGTGTATATGTTTGTTTTAGAGTTGTCTTCAGAAGGTTTATTGCTTGACACTGAATAACTGTGTGCGCCTGGAAACTTAATTGTCTCGGGTAGCTTTGCGTGCGTAAAATAAATACAATTTTTCTTACTGTAGGAAGACTGAATTTGTGGCGTTCTGTAACTCGAGAATGGCAAGTAACAATGGCCACTACACTGATCGAGTGAAAGCTCTACTTATTCAAAAAGGTGAAAGTGGAGAACTACGTCACGGGAATGCGCCATTTTAGTTAATTTCTCATAGCGTAATGGTCATATTCGTATGGAATTGTACTATGAAGCACCGTTTATTGTGGGTAGTCAAGAAAGCCATACTGCATGTCATATGTGCGTCGGCAAGATTTGGCTGGGGGTTGGGAGGGTGCAAAGCCGTACAGATACGTCATGGCGTGTGGGGAGAGCTAGCGCTGTCGTAGCTTTGGTAGTGCAAGTGTATCTTTTGCTTGTGAGGGCCAGTGCCCCTATTGCACCCCCTTGGCAAGGCCCCTGCCCTTTTTGCCTTCCGTACATATTACTCGGCCCTTTCCCAACGGCGCTGCTGAGGCGTCATGCCACGCCGAGTATGTGCACGTGGTGTCGTCTGCTATCGGAAGCTTGTTGCAGCCAATGAGAATGTTGGTTGGATGGAGAAACTTGGTTGGATGGACAGATTAGATGGATTGATGTGGTTGTGCTCTTTAGATCAGGCGGTGTCTAACGCCACCTAGCCGTAATACTTAGTGAACTAACAACTAGATTTATCTTTTTTTCCCTTTAATTAGGGAAGTATAGGACTGGTAGTATGCAGTGAATGGTTTAATTTTCACTCGCGCCTTCACTTTAGCCATCAGTCAGATAACCTCCTTTTAGTTAATTCACCCGCTTAAAGTCGATTTTGCGCTCCCTGTCTCTAGACCACAGTGCTTTGAAAAACTGCGCAATCATCCTGAACTATAGAGTGGAGCCCTTTACGGAACATTAACAAGTGTTTGGCAGTTTTCTCCTCCTCCCGGCATGTACTGCATGTCATTATGCCATGTCTACCCCTTCGTATTTGGCCCGATATGTCTTGGTTTGCAATAATCCCGTCCTGGCCTCAAACAGTAAAAAACTACCCCGAGTATTATCATAGATCCCTTCCTTCGCAATTTGCTGCTGAAAACTTCGATAGATCTCTAGTGCGGACTTCTTAATCATGCCAATTCTCCAAATGTCAGTCTTCGTTTCCTTCGCCTTCTTCTTAACCGATAGGTCTTTTTGGTTTGGCCCCCTGCTGTTTTCCAAGTATTTATCAGCCAATTTTCTGGTTCGCTTCCGCCATTTTGTATCGACATTCTTCATGTACAAGTATCTGAATACTTTCCTTGCCCAACGCTTCTCCCCCATTTCTCTAAATCGCTTCTCAAATTTTATCTTGCTGCTAGCTTCCCTGCCCTCAAATGATGTCCATCCCATATCACCTTGTACTCCCTGATTTGGTGTATTCCCGTGAGCTCTTAAGGCAAGCCTACCTATTCCACATTGCTTAATTTCTAATCTTGCTTGAACTTCTGATCTCATGCACAAGACCGCATTGCCGAACGTCAGACCAGGAACGATGACCCCTTTCCACATTCCTCTCACGACATCATACCTATTGTAACTCCACAGTGCCCTGTTTTTTCATTACCGCTGCATTCCTGTTACCTTTGGTCGACACGTATATTTCGTGTTCCCTTAGGTACTCGGCCCCATTGATTATCCATACGCCCAGATATTTGTATCTATCTGTTATCGCTAGCGTGACCTCCTGTATGCTAAGCTCACTACCTTAATTGTCATTAAAAATCATGACTGCTGATTTTTCCTTACTGAATCTGAAATCTAACCTATCTCCCCCCATTACCGCAGATGTCCACCAATATCTGCAAATCTTCCTTGTTGTCAGCCATTGGCACTATATCATCTGCGTACATCAATGCTGGTAGTGCCTGTTCAATGAGTTTTCCTCGTTTGACGAAAGAGAGATTTAAGCCCAGTTTACTTCCCTCTAATTTGGCCTCTAATCCTTGTAGGTACATCATGAATAATAAGAGTGACAGGGGATACCCCCGCATAAGCCCCCGTTTTACCTCTTCAGGCTTGGACACCTCTTTTTCCCACTTTATAATTACCTTGTTACCTTTATAGATATTCTTTAAAAGATTAGTGACCACATCTTCCACGCCTAGTGTGTCCAGTATTCCCCACAATTCCTCTTGAACCACGCTATCGTACGCTCCCTTGATATCCAAAAATGCTAGCCACAGGGGCCTGTGTTCCTTTTATGCTATTTCGATGCACTGCGTCAGTGAGAACAGATTATCTTCCAACCTCCTTTGTTTCTGAAACCCATTCTGCAGTTCCTCCAGTACCCCCTCATCTTCTATGCATGCCCGCAGTCTTTCCTTTATAATCTGCATCGCCAGCCTGTAGACCACTGATCACTGTTAAAGGACGGTAGTTGTTTATGTCAGCTTTGGCCGCCTTTCCTTTATAGATCATGCTCATCCTGCTAAGTTTCCATCCATCGGGAACTTCTCCATCGATAATTATTTTGCTCACTGCCTCTCTCAAAGCCTGTTTAGACTTCGGACCTAATGTCTTTATCAGCATAATTGGAATGCCATCTGGGCCTGTTGATGTACTACTAGGAACCCTTTTCTGAGACCTTTCCCACACTTGTTGCGAAAATGGAACCATTGCGCCACTTGATTTATCCTTGTCGATTATGGTGCATAAAGCTCTTCTTTGTTGGAAATTTTCTGTCACCCTTGTTCTTATATATTCAATAGCTTCGTCCCCTTCTAGCCTAGCATCTTGAGCAGTAGTTATAAACCTCTGCTCTAGGCTTGTCTGATTTTTTAGGGAGTTTAGATGGTTCCAAAATTTCGCAGCTGCCTTTCTATCTTTTTATGTATTTCTGCCAGCCACTGAGCTTCCTTTCTTCTAATCTTTTCATTGATCAGAAGGGATGCATTCCTTCTACAGCTTAGAAAGATTTCCCCCTTTTTTTTCAACATCATCTGTCGGCTCACTCCGCTGCTTAGCATGTGTGCGTTCCCTAGAGGTTTTCTGACGTTTTGCTATGGCTCTCTTAACTTCCGCTTCCCACCTGCTTTTGGGTTTGTGACTACAGCGCCGCCGCTGCTGTCACCCGCCCGAGTACCATAACCCGAGAATCACCGAATATCGCCATTTATTATATCCCTGGCGAAGAGACTTTTTCCGCGCTCGTAAACACAAAGTGGCTACCACAAATTTGGTAACCGTTACCGGGTACCAAATCTAAATTTTTATAAACACAGGTCTGCTCAAGCACCTTCGCCACTGTGCGCGTTCTGTGATGAACTTTAAACATTAGATCATTTCTTTTTGGCCGGCGGGTGGTTTAACACATTACGAAAAACCATTTTAGAAATACCTTTACGTGGTATTGGTATGGATTTATCTGTGCCTGTCATTTTGTCTTTTGGAGCTTCCATTTCTGGGTTCTCTAATGCGACAGTACGCGTGGCCATCCGGGACTATATTGACGAAACTAATAGGTTGACTAATTAATTTGTTTCATAATCTTTACGAGTCTACAAAATTATATACGTATAAAATCAGATTGTTCTATTCTAGGAATAAATTCGTTTCTTTATTGTGATCATTATATGCATTAGATCTTAGCACCACAATTTCCTAGGTCATCGGTAATCTTTCTATTAGATCTCCATTATTCTTATTCTGAACAATAATTTTTAAAACCACTCAATTCTTGGCCGGTCCACCATAGTGGGTATGCGCCATGGACAATAGGTGAACAAGAACAAGTGGCGCGGCCGCATCGTTTATCTAGGGAGCTTAGTTCATTCCACTGCCCCCATATTCTAGTATACCATATTCTATGACTTCTAGTATACCATATTCTAGTCTTTACTTTCGTGATTTTACGGCCCAGTTTTTCCTCTAGAGTGCTACATGGTTGTTGTAGAATTTGTGTTTGCGTGCTGCTGACTTGTGCTTGCCGTACATTCTCAAGGTGGACTTGTGCATCACTCCTGAGCGCAATCTTCCGTTTTCCTTAGAAGTGTGGCTGCTTGGGCTAGTTGGTATAGCATGACGATAGTTATAGCGCGAGAACAAAACTACGACACAGAGTCCCTCTTGTCTCTGGGTCGTCGTTTTGTTCTCGCGTTATAACTATCTTCATTCTGTTTTTCACCCCACAGACCCATGCATGTGGTGCGAGGCCCTCGGACGTTACACTGTCCGTTTCGCCGAAGAAATCGAACTTCCCGCGCGAGCGACCCGCCAGGTCGCACGTAGGGTTCACTAGTCAATTGGTTCCGTTAACTCTACATGGCGCCACTGTACCAACTGCGCCGTGGCCGTCCCTTTGGCGTGTCCGTTGTAACCATGGTTGTGGCCATCAACCGCCTTAGCTAGAACAATTCTGTCACTGTGGACTAAAGTCAGTGTTTATAGTATCTATCACGTTGGCTAGAGTCACTCTAGCATCGGCATGAAATGGGCGGTTCAGGCGGAAGAAGCCATTCCGCCGCACGGAAAGCGTAGCAAGCGATGTCTCGTTAGCGCTGTTTGCCGAGCCCGGTGTGCTGCCGGGCGACGTGTAAGAGTATTCTGAACAATGGGAAAACGGAAAGGGAAAGTTTGTGCTGTGGTCGGGTGCAGGAACTGTGATGGACACATTAGGCTTTGGAAGACGTTGGTGTGCGAAACACACGCGCCGTTGTTGCATCAACACTGCCCGTGCCCGAGGCCGTTTTCCATGCACCGGATTCCTCAAGGCGAGAAAAACAAGGTTACCCGGCAGTGCTGGCTGGATAATCTACAAAGAGCGAACTTCGATCCAAACACAGCGTCAAGAGTAAGTTACCGATTATTCACGTAACAAATAAGTTAATGCGAGTGGCCTGAGAATAGCGTCGCCTAAGCTTTTGCCACGGTGCGCTATGTGGGACCAGCGCTGGATTGGTGGCGCGCCTAAAACGAGCACCTGACGGCGAGTCGCGACACAACTCGGCTGCTCGCGCACAGACGACCGTCCGCAGTGTACCACTCTGAGAGCACGCGCGTGTACCGCTGCCGCGCTTCATTTTGGAACGAATAGCTCGAAAAGCCATTGCGCCATTAATACTGCTTTGCGGTTTAGAAAAATAATTTTGTCCAAAGGCAGCTCTCGCATAAAAAGCACTAAAAAACGGAGAGAAGCCCTGGAAAGCGGACTGCGTCTATGCATAAAGTATCGAAGAGACAGTGCTGTGCTGTGATGGCAGTTCCCTCGTCCTCAATTTCTGGTTGCGTGCTGGGTTTCGGGTGAATGTAAGTACTGGCTGACATGCCCCCATTGATAAGTCCGTGCTGCGATGATACCATGCTGCCAACATTTGCAGTGAAACAAAACAAAAGTAGAGTAAGTTGTAGCTGCATAATTTTTTTTTGGCATCGTTTGTACGCCCTGTCCGCAGTATGCAGGCACGGGTATGTTGATCAAGCAAACCACCATGGCAGCATAGCACGTGTGGTGTCACGCTACTATTTTTGAGTGCGCGGAATAGATTAGCGACCGCCGCAACCGCACTTTGATGGGGGCGAAATATAAAAAGAACACCCGTGAACCAGATACATGTGTGCATTAGAGAACCCCCCATTCTCACAATCTTGATATGCACACTACAGCGCACCTCAAAATTGTATCTTGTTTGGCAGATGAAAGCCTAGCAATTATCGATGGTGAATGGACACCTTCATTTTAGGCCGACACAGGCCAGCAAAAAAAACCGAAACTGTGTTGTTAGGCGAACTAAACAATGAGTGAAAATTGAAAACATTTGATACTTTTCTAGCAAGCCATAAATTCTGATGTTACTTAGCTACGGCAGCCTGTGAGAAAAACTCACTGCATCGGTTGACTCCAAAAAGCTAAGCTTCAAGTTGTCCACTGCTTTGCTCGTAACAAGAACCTTCTCTTTTGCACAAATTAAGTTGAACAGAGGCATCTCTGCATCGGGTGTTCACCGCGAGAGTATCTTTTAGGTGAACGTGGCCCCACACAAGTCTTGTGGACAAAGCAGCTTTTCTTTACAGGCAACTGCTTACAAAAAAAAAAAGAAAAAAAAAACGAAGAAAACCTACCTGCCTATCGCTTCACGTGGTGGCATCGGAGTTTGGGGGTGGTGGTCAGATAGATGGACGCATAAGAACTTTGTTAGTCCTGAGGTGCACGACTCAATGCTCAGCGGGCCAGATGAAGAAAAAAAAAGTTACATCGACCGTATGTTGCATAATACGCTCATTTTATTTCCTGCAAAACGCCATTCAATCTCGACTCTTTGGCCCTGGTTTCCACTGGTGGCTGCCTTCACTACCGAATAAATATAACAGACACGCGCCGTTCGGTTTAGAAACGAGCCCGACAGCACTAGACAGGAGAGCGAGAGCAGAATGTTGCTCGCCTGACGGCTTGGATGCATGGATGCAATACCGTCTCCTCTTTCTACATCCTCTCATTCCTCTATACATCCTCCGTCTTTTATGTATGGTTGCACTAAAATATGCCACAGTATTGTCAGTGCCCTTTGGTTTTGTTACGGCGATGCGCGTACGCACCACCTGTATCTGCCGCCACTCTCGTCTGCGGGAGCAGCTGAGATGTGCGCGCTCTCACTGCCAGGGTGTTCATGGAAACTCCAGCGCTGGTTCCCTATTAAGAGGAGTAGTGTCATAGGTGTCTCTACACGGGTGCCCCCCTCCACCACTGGAAAAGGTTAGGGTGGTGGTGCCACTCCCACTTTCGGCAGTGGTCATTGCCGGCTGCACACTGGGAAACTGTCAACTGAAGTGGAATTTGACTTCTACGCAGCAATCACTGAATTATATAATGAAATAATTTGTCCTACATTTTTGCAGTGGAGGTTTTCTTCCGTATCTGACGACCAGGCTCTGTCGGTGCGGGTCGCCCATGTGATGCTTTTCAGTAAAGCAATGCAGAGAAGGCTACCTCTGAGTAGTTACTCTGTAATGTTGGAAGATTCTGTCACGCTGTATTCTGCTCAGTGTGGGCTAATTTTACATAATTGACATTGTGAATGCGGGCAGAAACTAGTAAACGTTTTATCGGCCAATCACTCTTCTTGTTTCAGGAAATTCATTTTATTTCGTCAGAAAGGAATCGCACCACTGCTGCTCTGTAGTCAATTTCCTTTGAATCAGTTAGTGTGCAGAAAGTTTAAGTGTTTTAGTTGGGCAGTGTTGGGGGAACTTGAAAAGGTTTATACACGTTTGTTTCCTGCTTCGCCTTGCTTATCATATCCCCTTCAGCAGCAGTGTTTACAATTGTACACATCCAACTTGGGAGGTGCGTCATGCGCTGTGTGTTTCTTCAAATGGCTTGAAACGTAATGTGCACATTTCTACAGCCCTGCTGAGTCATCAGCCAGCAGTCATTTAACTTTGTTGTGCTGTGTATTGCTGCAAAGGATCACTTTGCTGCAGACTATACCACGTTCGATGATCGTTCGATGTGCTTCGTTGCAGGACTGACATCAAGACTTTTTTTTCATTGTTCGAAATGAGTACGACCAAAAAACAAACTGTGCATTCATCTTGGGCCTGATTTTGATTCTTTTTATGCACCAGAGATCGAAGCTGATTGACTGCAGGATAAATAGATTTTTATTTACACGTTACTTGCGGAAAGTCACTTGACACCATGAATTCCTTCATTTTCTTTCTTGGAATATAACACTGAGTGCCTTAACATCATGCCATGCAAACTTGATGCATGTGCAGACAGTGGATCATAATTCGCGCCTGAAGGTTATTAGTATCTTGCAGCGATTGCGGCAACTTGGAACAAGGCGAGGAATAATGTACGCAAGTACATCAGTAAACTTGGCTTTCAAGCTCATCCTGCAATTTGATCCACCGTACCAGGGGAATGGTCGTGGTCCACGGTTTTCCCGACTAGAGATATCGATTTCACAGCCGGGCTAGTTGGTCTCGAGTCATCTCTAATTGACTTGTACAAGCAGAATAAAACTCTGAAAGCAAAGAAGCACACTTGGGAGCTGCTGTTTATTTCCCTCCCCTTCTCCTTTATATTAAGAATGAGTTTGTTTATTACATATATGAATCCATCTTGCTAGCTCCTATAAGTAGCTGCTGCCAATATGAACAGCGGACAGCCTTCTTGAATTGTGTTCCGAATGTGACACTTTCACACTGTAATGAAAAATGTTTAGGCATTGTTCAGCGTAGTAATGCTCTGTTTAGTGTACACAAATCAATTTAACAGTGCAAGATTTCACAGTTTTGTGACATTACGTGACAAGACCGTGATATTATTACACAACAAAAGCTTTTGATGAATTGCCAGAAACCAATGGCCACAAAAACGCCATATTGAGTATAGTGAATTCTCTTATTTTTTATGTGGTCGTGCCAAAGGAAGATCCAGCCACCTATTTTAGGGGGGAAGTTGCCTGAATTACCACCAGAAAAGGGGGCGAGGTCATTACTCCTTTGTTTTTACTAGCACAAAAACCTTGTAATGGCACAAATATTGTTAACGTGTGCTCACAGTGGTCCCACTCTTTTGTCCTAACTGGGGATGGCAGATGGACGACAAACACTGAGGAGAGAGTGAGGGGTGCTGACAAGCTCTGGCAGGGCGATCACCCCTACCACCCTCCCTCCGGATCTGCCACCGAGTCGCGCATGAGTGGTCATTGCATCATGGATCATTTATGGGTCGTTTCTTGCATTAAGTTGTGAGCAGGTGCTATGTGTATGACCCATAAAATTTTGACAAATCATAAAGAGCTGGAGGTCAAGTGAAAAGAAACAATGCGGGGTAGTATAATGTTATAATCAACCACATTTTTTCAAAGGAAGTCTGTGCTTACATCATTTGCATAGATATTTAGAGGGGCAGGAGGGCCCTCCTAGCAATTTATTTATTTGTGAAACCCTCTGGGTGCATTTGGACGTTGTAGAGGGAGGAGGTAGAAATATAGTTGAACAGCAAAATAAATACATGATTATGTAAAGACATTATCGTGAAGATAAACATAATGGTAAATATTACAGACAAGGAGTACAATTTATTAAAAGAAAAGTGAACTCAAGCTGCGAAGAATGCAGTAAGCTGCCAATAATAGTTACGCCATTCAGTACAATTCATGGTTGCAAATTTATTATTGCATTCTTAAAACAAATCTAGTCGGTGACGGTTACTAATGATGCAAGTAGATTATTCCATCTATTGAGGTCTTGGGAAGGAATGATTGAGAACATGCTAAGGTGTTGTGACGAGGTACGTTGACCTTATGCACATGATCATGGCGAGCTGAATGGTACGGTGCCGGGTGAATACAAAGTGAGCAAAGGAAAGCATTGTAGTAATAGATTTTATGAAATAATAAAACGCACGATTTATTTCTACAAATATAGAGTATTGGAATATGGAGCATACTCTTCATTTATGAAACACCATCAGTGTGATGATAATTACCCAGGATGAAACAGACAGCACATTTTCGCACCGATTACGTTTCATTAATGTGACTCGATGAGGATCCCAGATGGATGAGGCGTATTCCAGTGCGGGGCGGCTGTAGATCATATATAGCAGTTATTTTGATTGCATAGGTGCAAGCAAAAAATTTCTTTTCAAATATTCTTATGAGCAGTTAGCTTTCGATGTTATGTATTGTATGTGCTGTTTCCAAGAGAGTTCGTTGGGAATATGAATGCCTAGATAACGGTAGCTGCTAACAGATTGAAGGGGGCAGTTATTTAGTGCGTAGACAGGGCACATTGTGTTAGAATGAAAAATGTGCATCGATTTACATTTATTAATGTTGA